ATTTATATATTTATATATTTATATTTATATACTAGCTTTATATAGCTGTCTAAGCTGGCCTGCTGAGTGCAGAGTGACTAGATTAACAGCTGAAGGAGACAGCGACAGACAGTAGATTCCTGGGAGTCTCGAACAGACTGCCTAAGATTAGACAGTGTCAGCATCTGACATCTTCAGAGGCAGATCCAGAAAGAAAAAACACTGGTCTCCTACCATGAAAGTTCACACCACAAAGTTAGGAAATCAAGACAGATCAATTTAAGAAGCAGAAACCAAAAAGAATAGTCTCACAAATAATGGAAATGGAGAAACACCCCCCAACCTCCGAGTCGAAGGGAAAGGAGGAATCCCCACAAAGAGAACTAAATGAAATAGAGGCAAGTAAACTATATTGAGTTCCAAACAATGGTTATATGAAAGCTCAATGAGCTCAGAGAGAATTACAAAAAACTACAGGGAAACTATGAGGAACTTATAGCAGACCATATCAGCATGAAAAAGGACGTAGAAACTATCAGTAAGACACAAGAGGAAATTAAGAATACAATTCTAAATTGAAGAACACAGTAAAAGGAATCAAAAGCAGGCTAGATAAAGCAGAGGATTGAATCAGCGAGCTGGATGACCAGGTAGAAAAAAGCTCCCAGAAAGAACCAGAAAATTAAAAAAGACTCACAAAGAATGAAAAGGCATTGAGGGAAATGCAGGACAACCTGAAATGTAATGTTATCCATATGATAGGGATACCTGAAGGAGAAGAGGAGGAGGAAGGGATGGAGAACCTCTTTGAAAAAGGAATGATGGAAAACTTCCCTAATTGGAGGACAGAAAAAGTCCCACAAGTCCAGGAAGCTCAGAGGGTCCCATTCAAGAGGAACCCAATGAGACCCACTCCAAGACACATCATAATTAAAATGGCAAATGTCAAAGACAAACAGAATCCTAAAGGAAGAGAGGGAGAAAGAGGTAGTAACATATAAAGGCAGCCCCAGTACAGCTAGCAGCTGACTTTTCAACAGAAACACTACTAGCCAGAAGGAAGTGGCAAGAAACATTCCAAGTAATGAAAAGCAAAGGCCTGCAACCAAGACTGCTCTACCCAGCAAAGCTCTCAATTAAAATGGAAGGCAAAATAAGGAGGTTCCCAGACAAAAGAGGGCTAACGAATACAGCTTCACCAAACCAGCATTGCAACATATGCTAAAGGGACTGCTTTAAGAAGATGAAAAAAAAGAGTACAAATACCCAGTTCCTTTCACGGTCACCAATACTTGATATTACCAAGATATTTAATACTTAGTAATCTGATTGTGACAATGATGTGCTCTTTTAATTATTTATTGAAACTAAACTTGTTTTTGTACATTTCTTGCCTATTTCTATTTTTAAAAAGCTTTAAATGACTTTTTGTTATTTATCCATTTTTTGATTAAATGTAGAATTTTTTCCTAAAAAAACAATTATTAACCCTTTTTAGATGTGTTGCAAATACTTTCCTATTCTATTCTTTGTCCTTTAACATTTTTTTATATGTATATTACTATATAGTCCTAAATGTTTTATATAGTCATATTGTTGATATTTTACTTTATAGCTTCTGGGTTTGAATATTTTACTTAAAAGTAAGAAAAATATTATTTTATATTTTCTCCTAAAACTCCTTAGATTTTACATATTGATTTTTAACTCCCCTGAATATTTTTTGTGAAATGTGTGAAATAGGACTCTGTATTTGTTTTCTTTCAAGGAATAGTGGTCTATGCACCTTATTTGTTGAATAAGCCTTATTTTCCCTGCTGATTTGAAATATCAATTTAATCATATATTACATCATTAGGTATATACATTTGTTTCTAGAATGCCCATTTTATGTCATTGATCTACTTGATTATTTCTGTGCTGGTGTCATGTTTTAATTACTGAATTTTTATAATGGATTTAAATTTTTAAATATTTTATAATGGATTTTGACATTTAAAAAATAAATAAAATCCATCTGCATTTAAACAAAAAAAGAGAAGGCACTCCTACCTTTAGTGACAACATGGATGGAACTGGAGAATATTATGCTAAATTAAATAAGCCAGTTGATGAAAGACAAATACCATATGATCTCACCTATAAGTGGAATCTATTCAACAAAATAAACCACAGGCATGGAAACATGGAAAAGACTGAAAGTGACCAGAGGGGATGGAGAAGGAGGACAATGGTGGAAAAAAGGGGAAAGGACTAGGCAAAGAACATGTGTGAATGACTCATGGACATGGACAACAGAGTGGGAATTGACTGTGGGAGAGAGGAGCGGGGTGGGATGGGTGGAGGAGGGCAAAAGGGGAAAAATTGAGTCATTTGTAATAGAATAAATATTTTTAAAAATCAATTTTAAAAAAAGAAAAGTGAAAAAAAATTACAACAGCTTTCTTTTTGCCAAAATGGAAAAGTCAGTCCTCAAATTCATATAGAATTACAAGGGGCCCTCATAGCCAAAACATTCGAAGGAGAAGGACAAAGTTGGAAGACTCACACTTTCTAGTTTCACAACTTCCTATAAAGCTTCAGTGATCAAAACAGTGTGTTAATGACCTACAGACAGACATGTAGACCAGTGAACTAGATCTGAGAGTCTAGATGTCAATTCATATCTATGATCAGTTGATTTCTGACAGAGTTGCCAGGTCTGCTCAATGGGAAATGAATTCTCTCTTCTACAAATGGTTTTGGGACATTGGGATTACCACATGCAAAAGGATGAAGTTGGACCTCGTGCCATATACAAAATTGAACTCGAAATGGATCTATAACCTAAAATAAGAGTTAAAGTCATAAAACTCTTAGAAGAAAACAAGGCAAATCTTCACAATCTTGTATTTGGCAATGGAGTCTTACATATGGAACCATATGGAACATAAAACCACATGGAACAACAAAATAGATAAATAAGACTTCATGAAGACCTAATATTTTTGTGCCTCAAAGGACATTATCAAAGTGAAAGACAACCTACAGAATGAGGGAAAATATTTGCAAATCATTTATCTGATAAGAGTTTAATATCCAGGAGATAGAGAACTACTTAGCAACAAAAGACAATGCAATTTAAAAATGAGCAAAAGTCTTGAATAGACATTTCTTCAAAGAAGATACACAGATAGTCAACAGCCCATAAAATAATGCTCATTCTTAGTCATGAGGGAAAATAAATCAAAACCCCAATGAGGTCAGGTACTATTTCATACCACTAGAATGGTAATAATGTAAGAAATGAAAAGTAAGTGTTGGTAAGGACGTGGAGAAATTAGAACCCCGGTATACTGCTGGCAGGAATATAAAATGGTGCCACCCCTCTGAAAAATGATTTGGTGGTTCCTCAAAAGCTAAATATAGATTTGACAAATGACTCAGCAATTCCACTACAAAAATAAAATTTAAAACAAAAAGTCTGATAATTGTATACCCATGTTCATTGCAGCATTATTCACAATTGCCAAAATGTAAAAACAATTCAAGTGTGCATCAACAGATGGATAAACAAAATGTGGTATATAATCACACTATAATTCAGCCCTGAAAAGAATGAAGTTCTGCTACATGATACAACATAGATAAACTTTGAAAATATTATGCTAAATGAAATAAGCAAAACACTAAAGGAAAAAATAGTGTATGACCCTACATAGAGTATAAAATATAAGATAGGCTAATTCATAGAAAAATTGGAGGTTACTAGGGACTGAGAGAAGGAGAGATGGTGAATGAACTTAATACCACTGAATTGTAGACTTAAAAGTGATTAAAATGGCAAGACATATATGTGTATACATATACACACGTCACAATTTAGAAATTCAAAAAATACTTTTGTTCCTTTAAGAACACTGATATTATGGAGACACATAGGGCATCTGTATTTCACCATGAGAGTAGAGTTTATGATCACAGTCAGTCTCCACTATGAAACTATTTTAAGAATGTGGATTTAGGTTCTTAATGTTATAAAATTTTAAGTCTTCATCACTTGAAGGAGCACACAGTGTAGTCAGAATACACAACCTGCCTCCTTACCATTTCTTTTCCATAAAAAAATTGTAGAAATTTTATTTTGATTTTAAGCACATGAAAAATATTTTAAAACATTATTTCAAAGAATGGGTAATTAGAGGTAGTTACTGTGAAGAACAGTAAGTAGGTAAGAACAGAATTAAAAGTATATGACCACTGGTTTCCGGTTTTTCTAAGCATGTAAGTTATCTTGTCCTTTTGATTCTAGTTCTCTTGTATTTGGGTTTTTAAATATAAGATTTATTTCCAAAATTGCAAGTTTATTAATAAGATAAAGTCTAAAGTTTATTCTAAGGAAAATTTAGTCCTAGTTGATGGTTTGGTATGCTTTTGTTCATGTATTCAAATGCTTTTAGTAAGTTTAAATCATGCTCTGCAAAATAATAGTATCATTTATTATAAGATGCTTTCTACATTATCCAGATATTATTAAAAGTAGATAATTTTATTGGAAACCCAACATCATACAACGAAAGTGTTTATAATGTTGGGAATAAGGTATGATTAAAAAGAACACTATCATTTAACATTCAACTAGAGGTATTAACTGGTACAAAAGGGGGGATCTATATTTATATTCGTGTTTGCATTAAAATGGCTCCTGGAGGATATACAGACAACCAGCAGTGAGTATCTCTTTAGTGGGAGGTGGGGTGACTTGCTGAATGGCGGTCAGGAGTGGGAGGGGAACTTCATTTGAAGATTGCATGTTTTTTATATTTATACTTCTTGATGTTTGTGCCAAATTAATATTTTCTATTAAAATTAAAATAATTTGATGACATGTGTATTATTATCTTATTTGTTAAATTAGACTATTTCATCTTTGTTTTTATGTCTGTGTATTGTGCCTTTCAACAGATAGTTTTGACAGTTCTACATTGGTCTTTAATTACATAGGCCTAGTTCCACCTAATAGCATGATTTTTTTTTTTCAGGTTAGTGTCCCAAAAATGAAACATAAGCCGACCAGGCAACAGAAGAAAGTGGCAAAAGGGTATTCATCCCCAGAACCTGATATTCAGGACTCATCTGGAAGTGAAGGTAAAAATATTTATGGCAGATTACTCATTAAAGGAGTCTAATTTTTTAAAGGATACTATTATGTTATGTTTGATAGATGAAAAAATGGTTTTTTATATTAAGGTATGTAAAAGTTTTGGTGGAGGCAGGAATGGTTTTCCAAAAAAAAAAAAAAAAAAATCCCTATTTTAGATTACAGATCAATTGCAAAAACAGGCCCAAGAAAAGTCATGGGGTATGTAAAAAGGGGGAAACATGCACATCAAGAAGCATGCAGTAGTGTGGCTCCTATGCTTTGTTAGTTTTTGAAAAATTGTTGATATGGCTTTCTAGATTCAACGCATGAAATGTTTTTTGAGCTTTGAGTTTAGTTCCATATTTCAAAAAAGTTTTTCATTCTCAGAATAAATTATTGTAGTATTCAGAAATCACAAACAAGTTAAAATGTAACTGTCAAAATTAGGAATGAAATTAACTAATGTGCCATTCTTGTTCAAGTCAGATAATGTGTAAACTGTGCTGAACTATATTGAGATATAATCAAGAAAAGATTAAAGTAATATCTGAAACACCATGAGAAGAAGGTTTTCTTTAAAGGCATAGTCCCTAAGCTCACACTAAGATGGGGAGCTCATTTTTACAGAGATGATGCTAGAGGTGAATAAATGATAAATGCCAGGAACGTAGTAGAAGAAAAATAGCTAAGAGTTGAAAAGCCGAATTAAGTTTGAGGTAATGTTCTGATGAATTTGTGATGTATTACAGTACAGAATCTAAGCTTAAGAAATGCCGGTAGGGGGTAAGGTACGGGAGTAAAGAGGAATAAACTGAATAAAGATTTAAAAACAGGAGTTACACAGTACCCATGTGCTTCAAGGGAATATTTGTTACACTGTTGTTCCCATTTTAATAAAAAGGAAACTAAGACACAGGTTAACCTGCCTGAGGCCACATATCCCGTAAGGCAATGTGTATGTTATATAGGTAGATATTTTGGCTCTTTATTTACTCTCTTCTCTTATCCCTCGACTATATTACCTGACATTTATTGAGTACTTAACATGTGCCAAACTGGAAGCTAAACACACCTTACTACAACCATATGATGTTTGCATGTTAGTAGCCCTATTTTACAAATGAGAAAACTGAGACCTGGAGAGAGGTTGCTACCTGAACAAAAATAGAATGGAAGGAATAGATATGTAAGGGGAATTGTTGGGGGGAAACCAATACAGTTTGCTGGAACACAATAAAAATTTGTAGAAGAGGTATCAAAAGCAATTGAAAAGGCATAGGGGTGTCCACTCTTTTGGCATCTCTGGGCCACACTGGAAGAAGAGTTGTTTTGGGCCACATGTTAAATACACAAACACTAGCAAGAACTGATGAGCAAAAAAAAAAAAAAAAGTCCTGAGAATAATTTTTGTGATATCCACCACCACAGATACGCAAAAAGTCTTTGCATGCGGACCTGGGGTTGGACACCCTAAAGTTTGGGTGACTAGGGGAATAAAGATAACATTAACAGTGAACATAAAACTGAAAAGGTGGCTCAAAAAACTGACTTCCCCAGATGTACGCAAATGGGCGACAGACAGAAGAGGGTACAACCTTTCCCAAAGTAATGTATGTATTTTAATGAGCTATTTTTGTGTGTTTTAATTAGGTACAAAATAAAACCGATGCCACCTAAAATTTAATTCGTGGTTACTTTACATATATCTGTAGTGTTCTCGTTTTGGAAAAATATGACTGAAACTTCAAAAATTCAGAGTATTTATATTATTATATTAATCTCTAAATCATAAAAATGATGCCTGGGAAAATTCTTATTACATGAGAATCATTAAGCTGAAATGTAGATTGTTTATAACTAAATATGTTCACCGTTTTCACCAAGGTTTTTCTAAATGTTCTTTTAGCTCAATCAGTAAAACCAAGCACAAGAAGAAAGAAAGGGATAGAACTGGGAGACATTCAAAATTCCATCGAATCTATAAAACAAACACAGGAAGAAATTAAAAGGTAATATATACTGACAGTGACTATTTGTTTGAGTCCAGAGGTATAGTTAAGGATCCTGTCACATTGGGAATCATATGCAAACCTGACATTTTTAATATCACTACGCTAAAATAGAACCCTGGCTTCTGTCACTTGACAAATATATGAAATTCTTTTAGCACTAAAATATTCGGGTGTGGGGAAGCTGTTTTTTCTCATCTGTAAGAGTGGAATTGGAGCATACTAGGAATGTATTGTATCTGGGCTGGATGTGGAAATGGGGTGGTTTCTGAGAAAGTTCATCAACAAAGGCTTCTGCAGTCCCCTTTGTTCATGGCTGATACTTAATTGCGATACACCAACTGTTGAAATATTGAATATTTTCATAACAGTGGGTAAGCAACCACTACCCTGAGACCTTTAAGTGCTCCACTGACAGTCCCAGACCTTTCCCCACATACCCACCCTGTGATCCAGCAACTGAAGTTCCTTAACACCTGCAAGGGTTCCTTGGAGGGAGAAGGGTGCTTACTCTGTTCCACTGCTAAGGCTAGCATGACTTCAGATTGATTGCCTCCCATTGCTATATCAGGTGTTAAAATACTTTTTTCATAATAATAAATGTTTATAGAGTTGCTTACAATGTGCAAGGCACTGTTCCAAGTGCTTTACAGATAATTTCTATAAAACCCATAGTAACCCATTTTATTTATTTATTTTTCTCTTTTTAATTGAATTTATTGGTGTTACATTGGATAATAAAATTATATAGACTTAAGTTATACAACTCTATAATCATCCATTTGTATGTTGTGTTGTGTGCTCACCACCCCAAGTCATGTCTCTTTCTGGAATTAACCTTCCTTCACACATGGATTCATTAAAAACGGGATTTCTCGTTCTCAGTTGTCTGAGAACTATGGGATTTAAGACCGTATATCTTTTTTTTTTCATTTATTCAAAATTTTATTTTTTTACATGAAAATATAGGTAAGAATTATTGACATGGGCTTTTCTATTTTGGTGGTTACATGTACCCTCTCCTGCCTCCCCCTACCCTCTCACTTCCCTTTGGTAATGACCATGCTGTTCTCTATGAGGGTTTTGTTGTTGTTGTTTAATCCCTTAAAACCAGTCAGCTGGCTTTTGTATATACAGTACTCAGCGCTAGATGTTCTGGAGGACTTTTTAAAGATATTTTCCCTTTTCATACAGCCTCATCTCCTGCCATTCCCTTACACAACTCCCATGCTCAAGTCTTATGAAACTCCTCATATCTTCAGAATTTACTCTGCTCTCCCACCTTTGCACACACTGAATTCAGTTCTAAAATGGCCCTTCCTCCTACCCTGCCCACTCCCCCCCAAAAAAATCCTTGTTTATCCTTCAGAATATAACTCAAGTGCCCCCTTTTTGTACATATCTAATCACTAACCTTGCTCTATAGGGTTATTAATCCCTCCACTAAGCTTGCTTAGCTCTCAAAAGAAATACGTATTCCTTTTGAGCACTTACTGCATTACAGTTATTTTTGTATATGTGTCTGTTTAGTCTTTTCCCATCCCCCCCCCCACCCGCCATTGGACCGTTAGCTCCTCTAGAGCAGGGAGCCTATCTCCTCCATCTTGATATCATTAGCCCTTACATAAAGTGCTCAAGTTTTCTGATTTAATTATGCTTGTAAATTGTGCCTAGTAGTAAGTGTTTTACCTCCTTTTCTTTCTCTGTACTGGTAAGACACTACATTTAGGATGGCATGAGGAAAATTTAAATTCTCCTCATAACTAAATTGACATTTTATTTGCATTTGCATATGAAATGCCTGTGGGACATTCTTTAAGGTAGGAATGTCATGAAATCTGTTGTATTATCTTTTCCTGGGTAATTTAAAATTTTTCTCCAATTCCACTTCTGTCTCCCTTAAGTAAAGATAAAAAATCTTAGTGGAACAGCTAAGAAGCAAAATTTTTGTTTTAAAATTACTATCATAATAAAGAAGGTGATATATTTCAAATCATCGAACTTTGATAATTATGTGTGATGCACATCATTAATATATTTGATACAATGTGGAATATTGATTTAGACAAGACCTAATAACAGCTTCATATTGCATAATCAACCCCCGGTTCAGGTAGCAGTAACTGTTTGAACTAGTTACTTTTGTTACTGTAATTAAGTGCTCTGTGGCCATATATCAAATTACAAGTTCTGTGCTAACATTTTTGACAAATAATTTAAGAATTTATTGTTGCTTATTTTTGTAGAAATATTATGGCTCTTCGAAATCATTTTGTTTCAAGTGCACCTGCAACGGATTATTTTCTGCAACAGAAAGACTACTTCATCATTTTTCTCCTGATTTTACTTCAAATCATAATAAACTTCATGTTTAAGTAGTTCTTTACAGTTGAATCAATGGACTGGAATGATCAGATTCAGCCTGGGACCAATGTTCAAGTTGATTTGGTCTTTATTAAAACATCATTTTGAAACAAAACCTTAGAGATAAATGTGGAGGTTTTGACTTTTCATACCTTTTATCATTAACCTGAAATAAGAACTGTTCTATTTGGTTATTAAAGTGAGCTATGTGTTAAGTGCCAGAACATTTCTAGCTTTTGTGAGAATGTGTCTACATGTGAATGTAATAAATCCACATGTATACACAATTGTGTCTTATGTATACCCAATAGTAAGTAGCCTTTGTATTCTATAGTATGTTCTGAGATACAGCACTAATGTTCATAACAAAAATACTATCAATATTATAAATATATGTATGATAACCTATTTTCTACATAATAGGTACAAACTTCTATCAATAAGGAATCACAAAATGGGAAATGATGGTATAATAGACATATTATAAATAGTTCAATAGACAGTACTGTTTAAAAAAATCATTTCCAGTGTACCCAACTCAGTTGTCTTCTTAGAAACACCAAGGAAAAAGTGTGGTCAAAATTGATATATTGAGAGATACAAGGTGGCAAATTGCTTTTCTTAAAGTTTATACAAGATTTTTTTTACGCCCTCAAATTTAATATTTATAGATACAGGTACAAATGTATACATGTGTATATCAACATAAAAATGGTATGCAGGTACTTGGATCTGTTGATTATATCTTTGTTATACCTATAGAATACTACCTTAAGCACTTGCTGATAAAATTGTGGTCAAAATTGGTTGCTGTCCTTTTTTCTTATTTTTTTTTTTAACTTGGTCCAATAACACAGGCCAAATTTTAGAAATGTTTTAGGACATATGAAGTGTTTATAGGGCATATGCAGTTCATGTCTTTTCATTATGAAAAACTCATTTTAGCTTTCATTTAGACCTTAGTGTGTTCCGTGAATAAGTAGAATAGAAGAAATTATAACCAACATTTACTTCAAAAGCCAAATAAGAGAAAGGTGATAAGAAAATACACTTTGTGTGGTGGCATTTATGTGTATAATAAAATTGATTTCTTTAAAATGTGCAGTAAGTTGAGCATCTAAGAAGATCATCAAGTTCTGGAGTTTAGTTTTTTTATTCTCCTCCTTGGTCTTGGTAACTTCCTTCTGTTGCAAAAGCATAATTCTTAAAGATTCCTTTAGTCAGGCACAGGCAAACTTTTTCCTAAATTTTTTTTAGTTTACTATTTTTACTCTATGTTTTTACATAAATACAGTCCTCAAAAGCAATATTTGCAAATGTAAGTTAAGCTTAGGAACATGTTGTTCTAAGATATATCTTAGAATCCGGAAAGGATCGATTTTGAAATGGTTATTAATGAAAATTATGTCAGAATAATTGCTCTGTCTACATTTGTCTTGGACTAAGAAGAGACTGTTAGACACTAGTAAAATTACAGTCAGCTGTTTAATGCCATGATAAATATAAAATCAAAGGATGGTTGCTAAATTATGAAAATTGAAAATGATAAAAAGCCTGTTTTTTTCTCCCTAACCAATATAACTGTCTTAATTATTCTTTTGTTTTATGGAGAGCAATTTCCCATATATTGTTGATAAAACAATCTGTATTCCATATGTACATGTGAAGCATTTTTTAAATTGATTAAAACTTAAATAAGATGCAACTATATCCAGTATAAGTATAGGTATAACATGACTACATTAGAACAAGTGGAGTTTTTTGGTTTGTATTTCATACTTGCCGATATGATTTTTGTACTCATTTTCTGTTACCAATGTTAGGCTCAACTGCCTATTCACTGATATATATTTTGTAAATATTGTACAATTTGATCTTTTTTATGGTTTAAATTACTATTAATTTATATTATATATAACTTGATTGGCTGATCACAAAGTCATTTCACCATTAAACCCTGAAAATTTTAAATTTTTGTTGATAACTCCCTTTTGGGGATTTAGTCTTATCCACCTGTGGGTTATTTACATTTGGTCTAAATAGTGTTTATTTGTATAGGTATCTTCTAAGACAAGAAAGGTAGTTATTTTCTTTATTTTTTAAAATTTCCCTTATAGGGTAGATGTTATGGATTCTTATTACGCAGAGTCAAAAACCATTTCATAAGAAAGAGCGGGGTTATGACTGTTACACTAAAAGGATGTATCTAATCTAATTGTTTTCTTACGCTTTTATTTGTGTTAGTTCCTTTCTGCAAACTGAACACAAAACTCAGGAATTGGTGGCTTAGTTTTAGATCAGTGCTTATACCAGGCTTAGTATGTGAATCCTTTAAAACACATCATTAACTTTGTAGTTAGCCATATATGTAATTGACTTTGAGTGTTCTCTATCTGGAATTAATCTTCCTTCACAAATGGATTCATAATGAATGTGATTTATAGTTTCAGTTGTCTGAGAACTGTAGGATTTAAGACCTTACTGCTTTTTCATTTAATAAAAAAAATTTTTTTTCACATGAAAATTTAGGTAAGAATTATTGGCATGTGCTTTTCTATTTTGGTACTATGCCTTCAATCATTCACCATTTAATGAGATGTAGCTGGCCCAGGAAAAGACAGTAAATAGGGCATGTGAAATAAGTAAGTTTCAGCAATAGATATTTTACTTGTATTTCATGTCAGCAGTTTTTTGTATCACTTATAAAGATACAGTGTAATCTTTGTCACCATTCCATCGAAAAAGTTGGCCTTGTAAAATATAACCCTCATTTAGTAGTATTCACGCTTTTGTGCCTTTAAGAAATACTTTTACTCATTTTGTGTTACAGAACTATACAATAGGATTCAAGTGTTTATAGGCTTAAGTGTCATAAAGGGTCATTTCTCTGTCATCTTATTTCCTTTTATACAGCTAAGTATATTTCAGTGGTAATGCTGTACTTTTTATAAGGGGGTGTCTGTTTACCTATTTCAAATATTGTTCATTATCAAACATCATTAAAGTAGACTTGTCAGATTATTCTGAGTATTGTAAACAGTGCCTTTTTGATGGAATTTACACTGTTTTGGGTGTCAACTTGTGCCATAAACACACAAAATTCTGTGAAAGGCAGTTTTAACTTTTTGAAGAATATCTTAGTCAAATATTTAAGAAAACAAATGTATAAACTTCCATTTTTTCCAGTGTTTAGCATTTCTAGTGAACAATGAATATATTTTGGGGTTTTTTTGTTTTGTTTTGTTTGATAGGTGATAACGACATTATTGATGAGCCATACGTGACTGCTGATTATTTTGAATTATATTAAATATGCAGAACTAAAATATTAAAATTAACATTTATATCAAATTTTCCAATTTGAGTCAATGGGGGCTGGAGACACACAAATCACTAACTTTACATTTTCAGCTTCTATATTATTTTACTACATAGAAAAAGAGATTCTTTAAAAATGTGTAATCTGCCAGTACTATGTAATTTGGTTTCATTTTGTTTACCTATAGTGTGAATTTAGTGTATTTAATTTACTTTTTGTTACTCTTAATATACTGTTTGTTTTGTTACAGTTTTTAATTGAAGATGGACTGTTAAAATTTCATAGGACCAGTGTTTCCTCAATATGATTAATATAGTTAGAAGACCTGCAAGAAATCCATGACAAAATGAATGTGAATTACTTTCTAAAATATTTAGAAAATGTTCTCTCTGCATTTATCATGTAAAATTATTTTAGTATTAAATACTGAAATTTATTTAAAGAAAAATGCCACAAAACATTTGAACTAATGAGCCACAGAATGTCAGTTGAAATTTTTTTCACTTTTTAGCATGCTAAATACACACCTAAGTGAAATATTCTGATTGATGACCATTCATAAAGTCAGACATGACCACTGGCCAGTTTTGTATAATAGAATAAAAATATGTTACCTGCAGTGTAAGTACAGCACACTGTCAATTTCTTTTCCTTTAAGGTGCATCGTAAATGTACAGATAGTCATAGGCTACTGTTTTGTAATGTATTACATTTCTAATCTATTATTCTTAACCTATTATTATGTTTGCAGAGATGAAAAGTTGAATTTTTCTAATGATCTGTAAAATTATGCTAACTTCTACAAGTAGGCATTCTAAATAAAATTTTTAAAAAGAGCAAATTGTGATCAAATGACTTTGAATATAATGTATGGTGACTAAATTACTTAGTACTAATTTTTAAACTACAATTTTTGGTGGATGCAGTTCTGAAGGACAGTTAAGGGCTTAGAAGGGGTTTAACAGTTAGAATCCCTAATGTATGCTTTATTTGGTACTCTATTCATTCTTCTTGAGTACTAATAGTAACCTTAAGATAAGTGGAAGTTAGCCCAACTTTATAGACGAGGAATCTGAGGCTCAGAGAAGTTAAATGATTCCAAAAGCTTCATAGAGTAAGACAGCGAGCCCAAGTTTGAATCCAAGACTGATTGCAGTCTCCATTCTTTTTCCACTGTCCACTTAAAGAAACTCTGATCACACCACTTTTAAATGTTTAGAATAATCCTCTGCTTTAATCTATATTGAGTATGTAACCCCTTGTGATGGGAAGAACCAGAGGGGGCAGAAACCGTAATATTAAACAAGCATATACACAAAACCCCTATGAAAAAGGTTTTTCCCCCTCAAAACACCTCAGTATATGTTTATACTGAGTCAACACAGGTGAGTTCCAAGAAATTAAATTCCTCTCCGCTTTTCCTCCATTCTCCTCTCTCTCGCTCTTTCCTCAGGGTGTACAATTGCTTCTGGCTAATATTCAGTTGCTTCTATCTTATTCACGTGGGGGGGGGGGAGGAAGGGAGGGAAGGGCTTAACAGATGTAGCATAGGAATAAGGGATAAGGAAAACAGCCTCACTGTTCAGCCTCAATGAAAAATCTACAAGATAATTTTCTTATTAATATGGACCACACTCTTAATGAGTGTCCTGTGTTGTGCGTTTATGCTAATCGACTCTTCTGCACCGTTCAGAGTATCCCACAGATACTGGGCCCATACATTGGTGACAGTTGGATAAACTGTAAATATTAGACTGTTGAGTGCTTAGTATATGCCGGGCACCATGCAAAAACAAAAAAACAAAAAACAAACCTCTGTAAACATTGTCACTCTCCTCAAAAACCTTAACAGAATTTTTGTTTTCATATCTATTATCTCCCCCTATTTTTTAAGGTGAGAAAATAGGAGATAAAAGTTTTACTTGCTGACGGTCACAGATAGGAAAATGGTAGAGCAAATCCATGTCTAAATCTTAAGCCCCTGTTCCTGACCATTTCACCTTGGGGTGTTTTGGTTTTTTTTTTTACACTATGTAAAACAGTATGTTCTTTCTGCCTAACAGGATGGGGTTTTTCTTTAGATTGTATCCAATAATTAACTTAAAAACACTATTGACCATCAATGTGGCCACGTCTTCAGCCCTCACCTCTGCTAAAGTTCAAGTAAATTGTGGTGGCCCGAATTTCATTGATAGCTCAGGCGATGTGGCAAAGCCCCCTGCGAAAAGCACAAAGCCTGCAGCTCGTGATCCTGAGCAGGCTCACGCTGTCTGCCCTGCATCCCCAAATTGCTATCGTGACTGGAAGGAGAACAAATGATGGAGAGCGGACAGAATATGAGCTCAAGGCGGAGGTTTTGCTGCGAAACGGGGAGCACTGGCCGAGGGTAGGGACAAGCCGGGTTCTACCGGCGGTACCCATTCCCTACTTTATCCAGGCTCCACCGCGCGCAGGCTTCGGAAGCAAGCCTGGGGCACGGAGGGCTTTGCTGGCAGGTGAAGCCCCCGGAAGGAAATGAATGTAGGCATCTGGGGAAGAGATTGCGGTTTCCGCCCCAGAGGCAATTCCCAGGGGGTCCCTGACCCCTTTTCTTTTCTCGCGGGCTATTGGGCCGCTAGCCCCGACCAGCAGAACAGCGGTGCTTTCCCGATGAGTGAGCGGAAAGGCAGTCTCCTCGCCCAACCGAAAAGCCGAGCTGCCCCGGTTTCCGGCTTCCTCCCGGCCGTTTCCTCTTCCGGCCGTGCCGCGCTCCGCCCCCGGCCGGCCCGGTATTCTGTAAGCGGCCACCTCCCCCGGCCCGATCGCGATAGTTCTATGGCGGCTGCTGGGTCTGTGAAGGCGGCGTTGCAGGTCGCAGAGGTGCTGGAAACCATCGTGAGTGGCTGTGTGGGGCCCGAGGGTCGGCAAGTTCTGTGTACGAAGCCCACCGGCGAGGTGCTGCTCAGCCGGGATGGAGGTCGCCTCCTGGAGGCGCTGCACTTAGAGCATCCCATAGCCAGGTACCCGCGTTCCACGCTCCAGCCCCTGAGGGCGTACTAGAGACAGTCACCCCAGGCCATGACCCTGAGCTCAGTGCCCTGAGGCTGTGCTCCTGGGAAACACTGACATTGGATGAGACCAGTGTATACTCAGGGTTTGACCGCTGCCCAAGGGAACACTATCCTGAACATCAAATCATGTCAACTTTTAAGAACATTTCGCACTCCTCTCTCTGCACCACCCCATCCTAGAATCTTGGACTAGAACAAAATACTAACTTGGAAAAGAGAAAACTTAAGGCTATGTCAAAGGGACAGTATTCTCATTTTATGCTTGTAGTTGTGAAACGAGGTTTCAACTTTACCTAGATGTAGGAAGGCAGCCCACTGAAAATCTGAGTTGTTTTATTTCTTTTTTGTACAGGGTGATGGTGGCATGTGTTTCCAGTCATCTAAGAAAAACAGGCGATGGCGCTAAGACATTTATTATCTTCCTTTGCCATTTGCTCAGAGAACTTCATGCAGTCACAGACAAAGAAAAAGATTCTTTGACTTCCAAAAATATTCAAACCCATGGAAGGCACTGGAAAAATTGTTGTCAGTGGAAATATATTTCCCAAGCTCTTGTAATGTTTCAGACACAAATATTAGACTATGTTATGGACCAATTATTAAGTAGACATTTTTTGTCCATCTTTTCTTCATCCACTGAAGAGAGAACACTGTGTAGGAGCTCTTTAGAGTTGCTCTTAGAAGCATACTTTTGTGGAAGAGTGGGAAGAAATAATCACAGCTTTATCTCCCAATTGATGTGTGACTACTTTTTCAAGTGTATGGCTTGTGAAAGTGGGGTTGAAGAAGGATTTGAGTTAGTGGATGACTGTTTTGCAGAGTTGAACATTGGTGTCACTGGCCTTCCAGTTGCAGATTCTAGGATCATAGCCGGGCTTGTGCTTCACAGAGACTTTTCTGTGTACTGTCCAGCAGATGGGGACATAAGAATAGTGCTAGTAACAGAAACCATTCGGCCTGTCTTTTCAACTTCGGGATCAGAGTTTATTCTAAATTCAGAGGCACAGTTTCAGTCATCTCAATTTTGGATTATGGAAAGGACAAAAGCAATAATGACATACTTACAGAATCAGAATGTAAAATTGCTCCTATCTAGTGTGAAACAACCAGACTTGGTTATTTATTATGCAGAATTGAATGGCATATCTGTGGTGGAATGTTTATCATCGGAAGAAATTTCTCTTATTCAGAGGATCACTGGTCTTTCTCCCTTTGTACTGCCAGAAGCCTCTTCTCATCACGAAATCTCGAACACTGCTTCGGTGAAATTCTGTAAGCCCTTTATACTTAGATCCAAAAGGTATGCTCATCTTGGCTTGATTAGCACATGTTCATTTATACCACACTGTATAGTTCTTTGTGGACCACTGCAGGGTCTTGTTCAACAACATGAGGATGCTTTACATGGCGCATTTAAAATGCTTCGGCAGTTATTTAAAAACCTGGATCTAAATTACATGATACAAATCAGTGACCAAAATTATACATCAAGTCCTCTTATTTATAAAAACAGAGAAAGTCATCAGTTATCAGAAATTGTAAATTGCTCAATACAAAGGCCATATCAAGGCACAGGTGTAAAGAACAAAGATGAACTGGAAAAAACTCGAACACATTTCGAAGTATATTCAAATTTCGTAGTTCCAGGTGTAGAATTAGAAACATGTATTTCATGTTCAACACCAAAAGTGACACCCTCAGATACGTACAAGACAGATGAAACACTGAAATGTTTATCTGCAAACGAAACTAGAATAATTGATGATCATGATTCATTTACTGAGAGTGATACTACTCCTGATTCAACAACAGAAAATACTAGAATAGAAATTTCTTATGAAAATTTATCGATAACAAAAATTGCTGAAAAGAGTACTATGTTACCAGTGAGATGTAAGTCACTAGAGATGGGTATTTCCCAGAGTTACTGTTTCTCATCTCTGCCAGCAGGTTGCGTTTTGCCAGTGGGTGGTAATTTTGAGATCTTGTTACATTACTATCTCCTCAACTATGCCAGAAAAAGCCAGCAATCAGAAGTGACCCTAGTTAGTATGATAATAGCTAATGCACTTTTAGGCATTCCCAAAATCCTTTATAAGTCTAAGAAAGGAAATCATAGCTTTCCACAAGTGTATATTAGAGCTCTCCATGCACTGCAAACCAATCAACCCATGGTGAGCAGTCAGGCAGGTTTGGAATCAGTGTCTTGTAAATACCAGTTACTAACTTCAGTTCTTCAGTGTTTGACAAAAATTGTAACCATTGATTTGGTAATCAGTATTAAGAGACAGCCTCAGGAAATTCATGATCAGGATTCAGAAGAGGAACTATGAAATGGGAAGTTCTTTATAAAACAGAGTTATAATCCAACTCAAGCCATAAAGTAAAGCAGGTATACAACCACTGGTTGTCAAGTCAATTCAGTCAAGGTCGGAAACAGCATGATTTAGTCTTTAGAAGTACACTCAGAGGCCAGCAGACGTGCAGACACACATATTAGACTGTTACGGAACAAATCTGAGGAGAAATCTTCCTGGATGAGAGAAGCCAAGGTCTGACCAAGTGTGTTCTTCCCCCTTAATGGCTGTGTTTCAGCTCTGCGTTAGTCTATGTGTGTGGAGGGGGGAGTCTCTTTAAAGCGCCTTCTTACTCTTCTGTATCTTCTGTTCATGCTCTTCATCTCTATTCCCTCTCCTTCCTGTATTTAGTAAATAGAATCATTTAATCTCAGATTCGGATGAGGTCTTCAAATGCCAACCTATTTTAGTTGTTTATAATATGAAGTATATTATTTGCTTCATTTAAAGTTACTTTTCCTACCTGTAATTTCTAAAGCAGTGAGTACAAAAATCTCTTATTTCCTTTCTCAACAAATTAAATTGGTTTTTGCTTTTATATGGTCCTTGCTTATTTCCATTTCATGTGGAAAGCCTGAAGAGACTCTCCCCATCCATATGCCATTGAATATATGCTACCAAAAATATGACTTTGTGCTGTGTGACCTTTTCACTTCTGTAGTTAAAATACCAGAAAGGATATGAATTCATACTGTAATTTTCTCTTGGCCCCTAAGAGCTTGTAAAAATAATTAATGTATTTGCTGTTTTATTTCTTGTGTTTGGTGCATAACTAGGATTCAGTAGTAACAAATAGTTTGAGAATTATTTGTTTCTCATGTGAAGTTTAAGTGTTTTTAGTTTGAAGGTTTATCAATGCAAGTGAAACTATACATCAACGCATGGATAAGACAGTGTCTTCTACTTTTTGTAGTTCTCTCTAACACCCAAGAAAGTGCTATGCTTTATTCCAAGTATTCAGAAGTGCTTATTGAATAAAACTGTTATCTTTAATCTGTTCTCCTGAGTACACATTTCCAATTTAGTAATTCAACAAATCCTTGGTAAATGCTTACAATATTCCAGGTGCGGCATATACCCTGGCAAACAAATGGCATGGTTCCTGCCTTCAAGCACCTTTCCTCAGAGGTTAATGATGGATAGTGACACTATTGGGGTTGGGATAAAATTTAGGAAAACTAATTTTTAAAAATTTAATTACAGTTAAACTTGAAAAAGTGATGACTGATCATGTATTTAAAAACTATAACATCCTATCATATTCTTTTACATTAAATGAAATTTTATTTTGTGAGGTTTATATCATGTATTATTTCATGTCTGTGAATATAGAGAGAATAAATTAGCTCTATTTCATATACTGAATTCAGAGCTATAGGAACCTACTGTAAAATTGCTGTATAATTTTTTTCATTTACTTTTTTTTAACTGCCTGTCAAGTCATTTGATAGTTTGGCTTTATTATTACTTTGTTGTTTTAAATAGTCCTCCATCATTGAAGACGCTCAAGATTTTTCCAGACCTGCCCAGGGCCTTGCAAATGGTAGATGTTTTATAGCTATAAATAATCACTAGTTCAGGAGCCCTATGTAAGCTGGGGCTGAGTCTTTGTATATTTGGCACCTGCTCTTATGGCACGCAATAATAGCCAATATATGTCTGTTGAGGAACTATCAATATATGTTGAATGAGGTCATAATTATTTCTATCAAACTTTCATGGACAAAGATCTTGGGAGGGGAAAAAAGGCAAAAAATGTGGAACACGTGTACACAAAGCAATCTATTTTTCTTTTAATTAAAAAAAGTCCTTCAAAAATTGTGATAAGGCTTTCTTTCTTTGGTTATCCTTATCTTTTATCGAATAACACCAGGGAGTTTATATCACTGGATTAGATAGAAGAGCACTTGTTAAAATGTAATTGCATTGTACTTAAACCTTCTTCCACAAAGGATTTGAGGTGACCTGCAACAAAAACATAAAAGTACAGTAAAATCTGAATAAAAATTAAAGAACCAAGACCAAGGAAAATATAAAGATGATTAAAAGTAAAGACCATGTTCCTGTTTTCTACTGCTGCATAATGAACAACTTCAAAACTACTAGATTTGAATCACTGTTAATACCTCTCATTGATCTGGGGGTTGGCTGGACTTAGCTGGATGACTTCCACTGCACTCTTCTGATGGATGCGGTCACAGAGGTCAGCTGAAGTTCAAGGGGAGGGAACACAGGCCCCACCACTCAATGGGAAGAGTGGGAATGTCACATTATAAGAAAAGCATATGAGATGAAATATATTGAAGCAGCTATCTTTGGAAAATACAACCTGCTACACCATAGGAGGGAAAAGAAGACAACTCTATGCATTAACTTAGCTGAGTTTTTTATTATTTTCTTGACATCCCAGTCCACCTCCCATAAACATATATTCTCCAATAGCCTTTATGAACCTTTTTTTCCCTCATTGGGTCAGCATACACCATTTTTATCCCCAAAACAAGAGACATTAAATACTTGAACCTGAACATTCCTAAGCTAATCATGCTTTAGCTAGAGCAGCTATGTATTAATAATCATGTTATACTGGAATTGCCATGGTATCCACATTTCAGACTAAAAGGGAGGGGGACAGGAATGAAATGTGAGCCTGATCTTTTTTTTTCTTTTTCTTCATTTATTTTTTCTTGTTACTCCAATAGAGTTGTCTCCATTTTCCCTCCACCACTTTCCCCTGCCCCACATACCCCACCCCCCACCCTCAATCCTTCCCCACTTTGGCTTCGTCCATGGGTCCTTTACTTGACCCTTCCCCCTCTTTTCCCCATTACCCACCTCCCTCCTCCCCTCTCATTACTGTTGGTTTGTTTTTCCTTTCAATGTTGCTGGTTATATTTTTCTTGTTTGTTCTGTTGATTAGGTTCCACTTAACAGGTGAGGTCATATGGTATTTGTCTTTCACCCACTGGCTTATTTCACTTAGCGTAATAATCTCCAGTTACATTCATGCTGTCATGAAGGGTAGTAGCTCTTTCTTTCTAATGCCTAGTATTCCATTGCGTAAATGTACCACAGTTTTTGATCCACTCATTTACTAATGGGTATTCAGGCTGTTTCCAGAATTAGGCTATTATAAATAACACTGCTATGAACATTGGGGTGCTTAGGTTCTTTTGAATTGGTATTTCAGGATTCTTGGGGCATAATCCCAGCAGAGGAATCGCTGGGTCAAAAGGCAGTTCCATTTTTAGCTTTTTGAGGAAATTCCAAACTTTTCCACAGTGGCTGCACGAGTCTGCATTCCCACCAACAGTTCATTAGGGTTCCCTTTTCTCCACAGCCTCACCAGTGCTTTCTTGTTGCTTTGTTTCTGATGGCCATTTTGACCAGAATGAAGTGGTATCTCATTGTGTTGTTTCTTTTTTATATCATGTTTATTCTAGTACAGTTGTCTCAATTTTTTCCCTTTGCCCTCCTCCACCCATTACACACCCCCCCCCACCCAGTCAATTCCCACTCTGCTGTCCATGGCCATGGGTCATTCGTACTTGTTCTTTTTCGAATCCCTTCTCCTTCTTTCTACCATTTTCTATCTTCCCCATCCCCTCTGGTCACTTTCAGTCCTCTCCATGTTTCCATGCCTGGGGTTTATTTTGTTCATTAGTTTCTTTTGTTGAATAGATTCCACTTACAAGTGAAGTAGTACGATATTTGTCTTTCACCAACTGGCTTACTGCACTTAGCATAATATTCTCCAGTTTCATCCATGTTGTCGCAAAAGGTAGGAGTTCCTTCTTTCTTTCTTTCTTTTTTTAATGCAGATTGATTTTATTTACTTATTTTTTTAAATGTCAAGATCCATTATAAAATATTAAAAAATCTAAATCCCTTATAAAGTCCCAGAAATTAAAACAACATGACACCAGCACAGAAATAATCAAGTAGATCAATGAAATAAAATGAGCATTCTAGAAACAAATGTATATATCTAACGATGTAATATATGATTAAATTGATATTTCAAATCAATGGGGAAAATAAGGGTTTACTCAACAAATAAGGTGCATGGGCCACTATTCCTTGAAATAAATATCAAGCCCTATTTCACATATTTTACAAAAAATAATCAGGGGAGTTAAAAATCAACATGTAAAATCTAAGGAGTTTTAGGAGAAAATATAATGTTTTTCTTACTCTTAAGTAAAATATTCAAACCCAGAAGCTATAAAGTAAAATATCAACAATATGACTATGTTTAACATTTAAGACTAGTAATATACATATAAAAAAAGTTAAAGGAAAAGCAATAGAATAGGAAAGTATTTGCAACACATCTAAAAAGGGGTTAGTAGGTTTTTTTGTTTTAGGGCAAAAATTCTACAAACAATCAAAAAATGGATAAAGAACACCAAAAATTCATTTAAATCTTTTTAAAACTAGTAGAAACAGATAAATACACAAAAACAGGTTTAGCTTCAACAAATAATAAAGTGACAAAATAACATATCATTGTCACAATCAGTAAGTATTAAAAATCTTGGTAATATCAAGTATTGGTGACTGTGAAAGGAACTGGGTATTCATAGATTCTTTTTCTTCATCTTCTTAAAGCAGTTCCTTTAGCGTATCTTGCAGTGCTGGTTTGGTGGAGGTGTATTCTTTAGCCCTCTTTTGTCTGGGAAACTCCTTATTTCGCCTTCCATTTTAACGGAGAGTCTTGCTGGGTAGAGCAGCCTTGGTTGCAGGCCTTTGCTTTTCATGACTTGGAATGTTTCTTGCCATTCCCTTCTGGCTTGTAGTGTTGAGAGGTCAGCTGCTAGCTGTGCCGGGTTTCCTTGTATGTTACTACCTGTTTCTCCCTTGCTTGCTTTAGGGTTCTCTGTTTGTCTTTGATATTTGCCATTTTAATTATGGTGTGTCTTGGAGTGGGCCTCATTGGGTTCCTCTTGAATGGGACCCTCTGTGCTTCCCGGACTTGTGGGACTTTTTCTGTCCTCCAGTTAGGGAAGTTTTCCATCATTCCTTTTTCAAACAGGTTCTCCATCCCTTCCTCCTCTTCTCCTTCTGGTATCCCTATCATGTGGATATCATTACATTTCAGGTTGTCCTGCATCTCCCTCAACACCTTTTCATTCTTTTTGAGTCTTTTTTAGTTTTCTTCTCTTTCTGGGAGCTTTTTTCTACCTTATCCTCCAGCTCCCTGATTCAATCCTCTGCTTCATCCAGCCTGCTTTTGATTCCTTGTATTGTATTCTTCAATTCAGAAATTGCATTCTTCATTTCCTCTTTTCTCTTATTGATAGTTTCTTTGTCTTTTTTCATGCTAATATAATTTGCAGTAAGTTTCTCATAGTTTCCCTGTAGTTTTTGGTAATTCTCACTGAGCTCACTGAGCTTCCATATAACCTTGTTTTGAACTCAATATCTGATAATTTACTTGCCTCTATTTCATTTAGTTCTCTTTCTGAGGACTCCTCCTTTCCCCTCAACTGGGTGCTGTTTCTTTGTCTTCCCATTATTTGTGAGACTCTTCTTTTTCTCTTCTGCTTAAATTGATCTGTTTTGACTTCCTGACTTTGTGGTGTGAATTTCTATGGTAGGCGACCTGTGACTTTCAGCAGTGCAGTCTCCTTAATCTCCTGAACTGATGCTTTTGGGATGCCTTTTATGCCGTTAATGTTGGCTCTCTGGAAACCATTGGGTTTTGATTTTTGTTTTGGCATTTTTTGGTGTGTCCTTTCCTACAGCTGGTTGACTGAGGGTCACTCTGCCCACCACGTCTTGCCTCTTTTTGTGCCAGTGCTGCCAGAACAAAACCACAAAGCCCAGGAAACAAACCCACATCTCCAAAATTACCGCCCCACCCTCCTGCAATCCCAATATCAACAGCAAATGAACCAGTATTAATAAGGCTTTAAAGAGATTAAGACTATAATAAGAAAGGACAGAAATAAACTTTAGTATAAAATCTAGTGACTTAATATTCACAAACTTGATGGACAAGAAATGCACATTAAAA